CGAAATAACCTAATTACAAAATTACTTAAACATTATTTGGAATATTAAAAGGCTGTATATTAATTAACTAGTTATTATGATCTCAATCTTCACTATAACTTCTTCGTTACGTAGCGCTTACCATAATACAGTTTTATTGTTGATTATTTAAGCCGAGGATTTGATTGTTTAGAGTTGGAGCTTCTGGCAGCCTCGTCTTTCTGTTATATTTACTAGTGCAAGCTCTGCCTTAGTTTATCTCCGGCTTTAGCACCTTGCTAGCCGACGTTTCAAATACGCGCTACTACTTTGAACCAGTCTAAGTAGTTTATTCTGAGCTGTAGTCTCAGACTATGTTACCAGCATTTGAATGTATGTTGTTTTATGCTAATTTAAATTACCACGTGGAGGTTCATCTGTCGCGCAAGCAATGCTTTCAGTTCATTCAGACTTAAGTCAAAAAGGTGATTTTGAGCTTTTTATGTCTTGGTCATTTGTTTCAGACTAAGCGATAACTTGCTTTCAGTCTAGTAGGTTTTCAGGCCATTGGCACAAGCGCTTCTAGATACAACAGAGCCCTACAAGATATTTAGCTTGTTTACGAAACAACTTTTCTCTCTTGTTTCAAACTGAAAACGATATTGTAAAGCCATCGATGAACATGTACAATTTTAAGAAAGCAGTGGATTTCATAAAGTGTGTGATGCTGTTCAAACGAAATACCTTTCAACAAAAATTGATAAAAATATTCAGGTTTTTCGAGAATGGTGGTAACTTTCATTGCTTTTAAGAACCAACTTTTGGCACTTGACTATTATACTAATATGAATGAGTAACTTCTGAAGTTTTTAAGATTTAATTAATTAGATGGAATAAGAACTTATGATGATGTTCATGAAAAATTCTTACAATTCTCTTTAAAAAACTCAGTTCAGATATTTGATAAACAGCAAGCTAAAATTTTTAGTTGTGTACTTGACTAGTCGTCGGATACGGGATGTTTAGCTATCAGCTATAAAATGTTAGAAAGAATGTCAAAACAATGTTAAAAAGAAAAATATTAAAATGCACCTTTAAAAAATACACAAGGAAGAAAGACACTACTTCATTTTCTATAAATATAGGTTAACCGTTTTAAATCGATGATGATACAAATGGTCACAGGGCAGCACAAATAATAATAATAAAAAAAAAGGATCAGGCAAATTTTGTCGATGATTTCAGGTTAAGAAGAATCTGTAAAATATTAAGAAGAAATAAGTGGGTGAAGGAAATGAGGGTTATACATTTGAACTTGAACTAGTGACTTCAAAGAATGCCAGGAAATGTATTCATCAGTTACGAGTATACTTCTTGTAGAGAAGACAGGCTATTGTATGCATCAGAATAGATGCCTCCGCTGGTTATCCTCGTAATCAAACACAATCACCCAATAGAGTACGCTGAACGAAATTCCTCCGGCAAAAACTCATGCAAATAAATATGCACATATTTGATATGTAAGTATTACACCGCTAAACATTTGAAAATACTGTATTTCATTTCGTTCGAAGAGGAATGTATACTAAAACCTCATTTTACGTTATTCGCATTAAAACAGATTCTATGTAATAGACTTCCCCCCCCCCCGAATTTTTGAAGGGTTGTAAATTTACGATGATTTTTATGATGTGGTTGTATTTAAACCTTGAAAAGTTTTCCAACTCGCTCTGGTAAATAACCATTGAAATGGTTCAATATATTCGATCCCGCCGAATGATTTCATCTATCAATAAATAATGACTGAATTGCCCGAGTTATCGACTAATTAGCGCAACGGTTCGTCAGTCCAGAAGGGATACTAGTCTCGAAAGGGCATTTTGCGTCGGTTCACTATAAATGTCAGTTTCACTTTTCAAATTGTTGCTAGCAAATGTTATCGCCCTGTACTATATTTAAAGAAATTAAACAATGAAGAATCTAGATGAATGTGTGTATGTTCTTCGCTTTTCTCGCGTTACGAAAACACAACAACACCTAAAGCCATCAAATTTTGAATAACGTATTCCTCTACCCGAAAATGGGCAACTGGAAGCCTAATTTTGAATTTCGATTTGGTTTTATTATCGAATTCCTATTTTGTAAAACATTAACGAATTTTAAATCGGTTCAAAACGAATTCTTATTAGTTTTTCGGGTTTACCGTATGTTCAGTTCAGAGAGCAGCTCCAGAGCTATCGACTGAGTCGGGAGCTGTACTTTAATGCTTTGCAGCGAAGCTGTCTTCAGCGTTGTATCTGCAGTATGTTCAGTTCAGTAGTAGTGTCTTGAGTTCAGAGAGCTCGAGAGTGATCAGCTGACTCGAGAGCTGCACTTTAGTGCTTTGCCGAGAAGCTGTCTTCACCACTGTAGCCTGAAAGCCGCGTTGCTGATTGTTTCAGGGTGTTTATCGCAGTTTTTCGACGACAGTAAACGTGTTTTTGGAACTGTTCTGTGTAACACTGGCGAATAAATTATGTTTTGTTTCTTCTTCAACTGTTGTCATTAGTCACTCCAAATCCACAAACCCGTAGAACGCAACAGTATAGTGTTAAAATATTTTAGTATAGTGTTCGGCCTTCTAAAAATGTTATGGAAAGCTTGCACAAATTTATGTATAGATTTTTCTATTTTAAACTTGATTGTCGACGTTTTTTAAAATTTGTTTCCAGAAAATGTTATCGATTTTAAACTTTATTGTTAAGACTGCACCGGGTGGTGGTGGGGATAATTCTAAAAAAATATTTTTAACATATTTATTTTTTTGCCAATAAGTTATTAGAGATGGGGTAGTGCTTTGAAGCACTCAATCATAGTACTACCCTGTAAATTCCTTTTGTTACTGGTTCGAATCCCTCAAACGGGTAAACATATATTTATCAACTGAATTAATACTTAAAAAATTCTTTCCCTTTTCAGTTAGCAGACTCCACTCCTCCGCCTCCTCTTCGTGAACCGGCACTTTTATACTGCCAAAATCTTAAAATTTATTTTTAGATATTTAGCTACGCATCATTTTTTTTAAGAAAACAATTTCTGAAACTGAATTTTAAAGATGAAGGCATCAGCTTACATTTGGACCTGTACAGTACTGAAGTCAAAAAATAGTTTTTTTAATATTTTAAAGTAAGTCAAATCGAAAACGGAAAGACGACTAAAATCATATTTAGTTTAGTACCTGTTAAGTCAAATAATACTAGTATTACCTATTACAAAAGGAATTAAGACTCTCACTTGTATAATATAAAATAATAGTCTTAATTCTTAGCTGCCTGATATACAACGTATAAACGTCTATTATTACTCTGTCGTAAATTTTATTTTGATATCAAATTTTCAAAATATGTTTAAGTAAATTTGCGCAGTTTAAATAAAATTTTTTATTGAACTAATACGAAATTCGTTAATTAAGACACAATAATTCACAGACAACGAAATAAGTGTGTGATTCGTTGTGTGTGACAACGAAATAAGACACAACGAAATTCGTTGTGAATAAAACAATTTTCTAACCGACAAAATGAAATAAAATTTGAAGATATGCTTGAAGGATAAGAAAGTAAATATTCCATGTGATGAAAATTCATAGTATATTTACTTTTATCCTGAACTGCTTTTTTTTTTTTTCCGTTTTTCATCCTTTGCCTTTTAATTTTTCATCCTGAACCAAGATCCTTAATTTAGAATTATTAATTAATAGAATTTAATGAAAGTTGAGGTTTTAATTAAAAAAAAGCATACTCTGTCTTCTTAAATAATAATAGAAATACGAAGAATCAATGGAAATTCTTACAACTCTAAACAGCTTTTCCGTACTTATTACGTCATAAAAGATTAATCAAATTTAGTGATATTTTTCTGCAGGAGATAGCACAGAGGTTTTTTACACCTCTGTGTTATCTCTTGCAGAAAATAATGACACAGAGGTTTTCAAATACTTTATAAACAAAGGCTAATAAGATAAAGCATAGAAAGCTTCATTGTCATATTTTTAAAACTCAAAATGCAAAATGGAGGTAATTTTGCTTTTCTTATTATGTCTTCAAAAGACGAGTAATTTAGTTGAGCAAATATAACTTCGATGAAATTAAAATTTTGAGCTTTAAGTCAGATATAAAATGCCTTTGGCACGTTTATCCTTATATAATACCATTTAACTTAAAATTAATAAAAATTACAGTCTTAGTAACAATACATAAAATAAACTTCCCTGTTTTTGTTAATTCTATAAGTGAGAGCATAAGATTAATAGTCTTTTCTTTATATCAGTTCAATTTAAAAGCATAAAAAAAACCTTGTAAAATGCAAATTTTAAATTAATTATATTTTTATTATTCTTAATTTATTTCTTCGTTATGCTAAAACATACACATGAAATTTTACTCTACTGGCACTTAATTTTATATTAAAAGTAGTTTATATGTTGCAGATTACAATACATAAGGCCGTAACTTAAAAATATTGGTGCGAGAAATAGCTTTGTTCCGTGAATTGCTAGACACATTTTAATTTTCTTTTGCAATAATTTTGCGTCTACATATCAAATGCTCCAACTTGCGAAAATCTTTAACTGTTATAGAAGTTATCAAATAAGAGAAAGCTTTATAAAATTTTTTAATTACAAAGGTTTTTTTGGTGTATATTTATAATATATATTGTAGCGAATTATTAAGTATAATTTGAATTAAATTAATGAATGTATCGCACTTAATATTACTCAAATAAACAAATTAAAACATATGAGATGAGTTATTTGTGTAACATACGAGTAAATTTTAAATTAAAATCAATTTAATAAAACCGTAAACATTTAAATTAGTGCAGCTATTAAAATAAAAAAGCAATTAAAAAAAATGTATATTTCATCATGAAAGAGAAAGTGAAAATTCTTCCTAATATGCATCTGCATTCAACTATATTTTCAAATATTTTACGCACTTGTCATAGAAATTGTTAAAAAGCGGCAAATAATTTGTACGTAATGAAAAATGCTAATTACAGACCTGTTCTTTTGCAGAGGTAAATTGCGCTTCATGTCTTAAGCACTGACCACACAAACACACTGACCACTATCCGTTAATTCAAGAACTACGCTTTCTCCAATCATTCTCCTTAAGCTAAAATAAGCGAAGAAAACTCGCGTGTTAAGCAAACAACTTTTGGAGAGGAGGAAGAGGAGAGGAGAGAAATATCCCTATTTCAATAGAAAGTTTATTTCATTCTTCATCAGTCGAATGGGTCTTCTATGTCAAAGCAGAAAAAAAAAGTTCCAGTAAAGATCTTTTGCCAGAAGAGGGCGCTGGAAATAGACAGTTCACTAACCCACTGACCCAACGATTGTTGCGTAGAAATTATTTCAGAAAGGATCTTCATTTCCCAGTTGACTTGGCTTTAAAGAAAGGGGGAAATGAAAGGAACTGCATTTTAAGTGCATGAGAAAACAATAAAATATGGCAGCCGTCAATAGAACGAATGCATTTGAATTCGCTTGCTGAAGAGTAGGGTCTATAAATTAGTTTAGGGTTTTTTTTTTTATGTTTGCACAGATGGAACAAAGATTTTCGAAACAATACTCGGTGACATAGGAAATTTCTATTTTGTAATTTTTGATAAATTCTTGTCACGACATTGGCCATCAGAAAAGATTTACGCAGTCTCACTGTATTGGATTAGTTTAAGTTAAACATTTCTTCTCATTTTAAATTACCATTTTTTTTTAAAGTTATGATCTAGTGTTTCTAGCTGTAGCTCAACACCTGAAAGGCGCCATAAGCACATTTAAGCTACGTTATTTTTTTATTATTCTTCTAAGAAGGTTTGGAATTTCGCTTTTAATTCTGTGTTACCAACAGGGGGAAAAACATTTCAAAAAAATCCAAGAAGAAAAGTAAAACATTCAGAGATACATAATAAATATTTTGATTTTAACAGCATTTGATTTAAAAACCACAATAATACCTATATTTATCATGAGGTATGTTTCTTAATATATTTTTATGAATCAACAACAGATTATAATTTTAAACAGTTGTTAGTTGTATCAAAATCAATAACAGAGTCTGATTTTCCGGAATAATCAACTTCATTACACTTTAAACAGTTCTCTTAAGTTTCACTAACCTACAATTAACAAACTATCTCTTTTTAAAAACTGAGTTGTACCGAAAAGCGAAAGTTAGTTTTGTCGAAAATCGGGTCTGCCCGATTTACAAATAAAACTTTTACGTTCTCTCTCTTTGTCTGTACTTCCGTACTCGCTCCCCCGAACACAAATTCCGTCTTTCTTTTCATTGTTTTCCTTACGATGCCGAAATATGGAACGAAAATAATGAAATTTCTCAAAATTAATGAAATAGTGAAATCTTCCGAAATGGACTTAAAAATTAAACATTCCAAAACTTCGTGACTTCTGAAGTTAAGATAAGAAGATAAGAATTTACCACCAGATCGAAATTTGCGTTTGAAATTTGATCGCTTTTTAGATATCGAGGCAGTTCTAACATAGGAACTTATTTTATGCCCAGACATGATTGCATAAACACATCTAAGATCGTCCTGTAATTAATGAATATATTGGCATACGTGAGAAAATAATTCAGATTTTATTTGCTCTTTTTAATTGCTCTTTAAAGTTCTTTGACAGTTTAAGCATTGTTTCTTTATTTAGTGTTAGTGCAGTGTTACTTTTGCAGTGTTACTTTTGCAGTGTTACTTTTGCAGTGTTAGAGCTGAAAGAACTTTTAAAAAATAATATTGCAGCATTCTTTCTGGGATTAGCTCCCAAATTGTTGATGCACATTTTTATTCTAGAAGGTATTAGCGAAAGGTTTTCAGTCAATAAGCAGGATTCATATTCTATTTTTATAAAAAAATCTTTATTAAATTTGTTACTGAGGGATGTTGTTTTAACATACAAATAAAACGTTTCGTACCATATACAAAACGTTAAAAAACTGATGAAAAGAATAAAACTGAGAACACTATCGATTCTATAACATACCCTGTTTTTAGAGATGTTTTAATGAGAAAAAAACGCGTCTTATAGTCAAAAATAAAAACTAAAACTGACTATGGCAAGCAGAATTTAATTACAGGACATATAGTATAACCATAGAGTCTGGAAATAAAAATCTATTTCTGAACCTGTTATCTTGAAAGTTTCGTACTTTAAATAAGGATTTTATCACATGAATAGTTATTTCAAATTCATTTAACAGCCAGAATAATTCATTTAGTTATGCATTATAGTCTCTAATTATGAGATCAAAGGCACTCACAAAACTCAGCTTTTATTTATAATAAATTACAACAAATATCTTTTATAACAATCTAAGCAAAAATTTAACATTTTTGTTTCCTACTTAATAATAAAGCATGCACCTGATAAAATGTCTAAGCGCCCACCAGGTGCATCAAGCACGTCGAGACAATATCAAGATAAATTCTTTGATCTTTATTTTAATCTTTCAAAGTGAAAGTCTGAAAGTTAAAGTAATAGAAAAGAGAAAAATTACAAACAAATTCTTACAAAAATATTCCCAGTTTTCTTCTGTATTTGCTATGAATTACATATTTTTAGAAATATCTTTTTTTTAAGCTCTTTAAATCCTTCTTTCTAGATAAAGTGGATTTATTTATTGTAACTGCAGCAGTATACTTCTAAACTCTCTTCTAACCGTTATTTGGTTCGGTTCTTTCAACATCTACATATCATTTTATTTTGTGATAAATGAAATTGATGGTTTCGTTATAACACTAATTTTTTTCGGTTATGTTTAGTATTTCTTTATTTTTCTGCAGTTAGTTACTGTAATAATGAATTCTGAAACCGTTCTGTATTTACACAAACACACACATATATAGATATATACATATATAGAGAGAGAGAATGAGATAGAGACAAATAGATAAATATTGTTTCGCTTTCTTATTTCGTGATGTTCTTATCTGGAATGGCTATTACGGTAAAAATGGTTACATAATTCTATAGTAAAACTTCGCTATTTACAAGAAAAGCATTACAATTTTTATTTCCAGTTTGTAAACGACATTAATGAAGTTCATCGTAGCGAAAATAATTTTACGCATATCTGCTTATGTATAAAAACTTACAAGAAACAGCTGAAACAACTCAGACGAACAAGTTTTATTTATCCCATTAACCGTGGTTAGCGAATTGAACATATTTTCTCTTTAATCTGAGGATTCTTAGAGGGTTATCGTCCGCAGACCCAGAAATAGTACTCTTTACAACAATAGAGAAAATAAAGTTTCATTCTGCTTTTTCGGCCAATAATAGTGCTTTTGTTTAGAGATACTGTGCGTGAGACTGGTTCAAGTGAAATTATATCACCATGTATAATAATGCTTTGAAGGATACCCTTGAATTTAATGATCTACGAATGGAAAGATTAGGTTAAAAATCAGGTTAAACTTCGATTCAAGTTTTATACTAAGAAACACTTAATGTAAAATCCGATCTTTTAAAAGGTTATACGGAATTAAACCATTTTGGTTCTCATCGTTTGATTCTCTGTATTCTCTTTATATCTAAATAAAAATTAAGTCAATGAAAGTATTAAGTAACAAAACTTTGTACAAAAAAGGAAATAAATTGGATTTATTATTTGACAAGAAGCTTTTCTTCCATCCATTCAAGAACTAAATTTAGTGCTGTCCTTTAGCGTAGCATTTTAGCTTTAGCGGTTTAATACAGATATATTCTACTTTACAGAGTATTGTTTCACTCGATTTCACTTTTATGAAAGACATACATTAATAAACTATTTTCAGTTTATGAAAGAAATACACAGGGGGTTTTAGTTTTTGTGAAAAAAAAAATATATATATATATATTATATATACCGTTCAACGTTAGCTTTGCACTGGGTTTGAAGAAACACATTTATCTATGAAAATACATGCAGATTTAGTATTTTTGTAAGATGCTTAGATTGTGTATAAAAAACTTTAGGCTAGACAGTATAAATCAATCAGGTATAGTGCTGTATTTCAAGCTCTTTCATACAAGCCACAGTAATCTACACATTTCGCTTTTCAACATGTGCAAAAACAGTCTTCAGATCATTAAGAAACTACCAGATCATTAAGGCATTTATTCTCATTATTTTTCTTAAAAGATGGCCCGCAAAATTACAGGCGATTGCTTAATGGAAGTAAGACTATCCTCTGCCTATAAGTGCTGGCCCAAGTAAACCACAATTAAAACTTATAAAATGCTTATCATAATAGAACCGGAGAATGAATTAGTTTACACTTTAGGCAGCGTTACACATCGGCATTCACAGCAAAGAATCTAATTATGGGCAGTGGCATAGCTAGTTCGGATGACATAACACCCGGTTCGGAGTTTTAACTTGTCACCTCGCATCCCCACTAAAATGGAAAAAAAAAAAAAAATATTGAGAAAGCAAATTTTTGATTCATTTGGTTAAGTAAACAGAGTACAGTGTTTAACTAATGGTAAACAGTTTTTTTGAATGAAAATAAATAAGCAAAAGGCTTTTCTTAAAATAAAACAGCTAATTCGTTAATAATGTAACAGTACAATGTAAGCGTGAGAACTAACTTTAACATAAATCTCTTCCTTCTAACTTTTCTACTGCAAATTTTGAAATTGCGTCATCAAAATCGACACTGTTAGCTTCATAATTTTCTATTGACAAAATGGCCAAACTAAGAGAGACGTCCTTTTCTCATAGTGGACCTAATATAATTCTTAATTGTTTCGAGTTTCGAAAAATTCCTCTCACAGTATGTACAGATATTAGGTATTTTTGGAAGTAGGCAAGATGAAAAATGAGCAAACAACTTCTCCGGTAATCGAACCACGGACCTCTGAAATACCGGCCCAGCGTGTAGACTACCACACCACGAAGGCATGCTAGAAAGGCGGGAGAAATACCTTATAAGTATGCTGCAGAAAAACACGAAGTTAAAAAAAATCTCAACATTAAAGTGAGGTTGAGAACGGATTCGGAAAGTTCATATTAAACCATGAACTTGAAAAATCTTGAAAAAATTGAAACAAAAGACAGCTTTTGGAATTTTGGCAGTTTGTAGAAATCTTCTTAGGCATAGCACTTTTTTCACAGTTTTTTTACTGTTTTTACAGGCAATCTAAGCATCCTACGAGAACAATAAATCTGCATGCATTTT